TCAGCTTAAGCTATTTATCCAGAAAGTTCTACCCAATCTACTCTTTTTGTAAGATCTTGCCCGTATCAACAGCGTTAGAACACCTCTCTATGGAGTGCCACTATTTGTCTTCCTCGACATCATCTCCAAATTCCACTTTCACAATAATTCTTCTTTGATGCATGAAAAAGTAATTACTTTAGAATATTTTGCATTCTCTTGGGTCGATGAGGCATTTGCGCATTTTCCATCATTCGCACTTGACGTTGTGTTTTTTTTTCAATCCTATTTGTCTTCAGGGTGTATAAAAAAAAAATTCTTTCCGTAAACACTGCCACTTTGTACACCGAGTTTCAATAAAAATGCGATAAAAATTTATGAAATTAGAGTGGGTAATTTACACAGCTCTTATGTGTACATACATATGTTTGTTGGTTTGTGTGTGTGTGTGTGTGTACTTGTGTAACAGGCAAATGTGTATGACACATAAAATGCCCAGTTGGATTTTTGTTGTAATGTCGATTTGCTGATGGCTCATAGCTGATGGTTAACTTTGTTAATGACCATAATGGCATTTGCTGCTCGCTGGTGCTGGTAATGGAGCCCAAGCGGCGGCCAAGTAGGTAATACTATGAAATATTTTATAATATTCACGCAACAATAATTGACTTTTCACTCAGGCACGTTAGCAGTGCACCCACCCAGTTTGCAGATCGCCCGCCCCAACTGATGTGGCAATGAAGTGGGAAAATTGACGACCCAGCAGCACAGCAGACGAAAGAGAGCCGGTCACGTATGTAGGTGGTAGATGTATGTATGTATGTGTGTGTGTACGTAAGTGCACTTTGACTGAAACGTTGGATGAAAGCAGAGGTCAAAAAGTCAAAAACATGCGCAAAATAACACACACACACACACACACATGTACGAGTACGTGGGCACACACTTATATATGTATGTACTAATGTACATATGTATGTATGTATGTACATGCGGTGTGGTGACTACAACTGTAAAAGCTAAGTAAGTACATAATTCCATTTATTCATGACAGTGGTTCCAATTTCATTTGCTTGTGGCAACATTGACATGCATATATTATATTTATGTAAATTCAGCAGCACCAACAGGGATGTGAGTGAGTCAGTGTGTGACATAGACTCATGGAGCATTGCAACATCGCCACTCACTCGTGCACTTGCTCGTCGTTCAAGTGTCATTAGCTGTAGTTGGAAATTGGAATATGGAATTGACCAACTGCGCCAGATTTTCGCAATGCCAAGTGAGAAATTGTGCAATGTAAAATTGCTAAAATAGAAACAAAAAAACTATGCTAACCAACAACGGCCCAGCTGGAGCAGAGGAGAGTGAGCAGCGGGTGGGGCAAGCTGTTGCGGGGTCACCAGCGTGAACTGGCACAAATAAGCGCAATCACCGAAAGCTGAATGTGTGAAATAGCATAAAAAAAAAAAATGAAATCAAGAGCAGTCAGCAAGTGGCAAGTGGCATGTTGGTACATACATATGTATGCAAGTAAAACTGCCACTTTACGATGAATCGTGCGGCCGGGGCAGTCAGTCAGTCACTGAGTCAGCCAACCAACAGGCCATTACTGCCGAACGATTGCATCGGCCCAGTCATTTAAGACAGTCACTCAGCATTTTTCATGCGATTTATTTATTGCCACATGGTTGCCAACACCAATTGAACGTATAGTGCATACACAGAAGGAAATGACAAACAAAAACAAAACAAAAATGAAAAATGAAATAAATAAAATAAAGGGCACATGCTGCATGAAAAAATTGGAAATTGCGAAAGGAAGAATGTCATACAGCACCGAAGGGAGCGAACGATGCTAAATGGCAAGTTCCTTTCCGTTAAAAAAAAAAGCCAAAAAAACCGACAAAATAAATGAACTGCAACAAATTATTGATAAAACATGGACGCATATGCTCGTAACTCGAAATGTGGCAAGCGGCATGTGGCATGTGGCATGTGCCGCAAACAATTGCTCTGCTGCAATAATGTAGATTTATTAGCTCGATAGCTTTGATTCCATTCGAATACACTGTTTCTGTGTATTTGTTTTTATTTTTGTTTCATTGTCTGTCTGTTGCGTTTGGATATACAATTCGTGCCATGTTGCAAGCCATTTACCAAAATTTTGCAAACTCACAGTTGCCTTGAACTTTACCAATGATGAGTTGTGCCACCTTCTACATATGTGTTCTGTACCAACCGAATTGATTGCACAACGGCGGCCTAGCTGCATACATATAGTATGCGTTGAGGGAAATTTTTGTCGTTTATAACACTTATTAGGGTGGGCTGAAGATCCGATTTTTTTTTTAAATAAATTTTATTGTTAATAGCAAAATTATTGTTCATCATACTCTAAAAAAAATCCGTGCGGGAGATTAAAATTTTCGGTCATTACCTTAGGCTCGCCCAAGTCAATCAAAGTTCAAAAAGTAAAAAAAAAAAATTGTGAACGATCGCAAATTGAATTCTCTACAAAAAAGATCCGTATACATAATTATGCAGGACTTATAGATTCGAAGATAAATGCAATTTTAATAAACAATTCGCATGTTTTGGTACATCAATATAATAAACTCTAATATATAAGTAAAGACTGCAGACTTAAAAAAAGTTATTTTGCTAATAAAAGTTATTTTAATATGGAATTAAATTTGCAATCGAAGTATGTTGGAAAACAAAAATTTTGAATACTTTGAACTTTGATTGACTTGGGCGCAAAGATTTTTTTTAAAGCATAATGAACCATATTTTTGTTATTGACCATAAAAATTCTAAGAAATTCGATTTTCGCCCCACCCTAGTACTTATGTACATATTTATGTCCAAGTATGTCAGCATCATGCTATTAAATCACAGCGGGCAATTAAAATCAGTCATATTTATATTTTCATGTTTTCGTATGTAATTAAGAGTTCTAATAAAGTGTGTTAAATAAATATGCGGAATAATTTTAATGGAGTGTAAGAGGCCACATAATAGATAATTTTACGAATAGTATCGAAAAAAATTTAAGGAAATAATTTTGAATTCACAAGCAAGTTACGCTTACAATTTTGTTGCACAATTTTATAATCTTTTATCAAATGAAAAAAAAACTAAAAATTAAGTAGAAAATCGGCACCATAATCCGAAACATTTACAACTGAAATTCCTCTTAGATTTATATCCTCATGGCTTGAAGAGTGGTAAGAGCAGCGCACAGTGGTCTGGGAGTGGCAACTGAGTAGTTGGTTCGACTCTAGCCATGCGTTTTAATGCGATGTATGGCTTTTTGTATCCTAATAAATTTCGGTAAAATGGTGCAGGAAGTCAATTTGAACTCCGCTTCTGGCGTTGAGCAATTCAACTCGTAAGAGAACCCTAGACGGTGGCAAACCTAGGGCAGAAGCAGCTATGAAAATTGCCAAAAATAGGCTAATGACGCTGTGACAAAGAAGCCTCAACGCGTTCATATGGAACCAATGAAATCCTCCTACAGCAGACTGGTGAGTAGTAGGTTTCATGACGACGTACACCACCTACAAAAGGAAGCAATTGACACATATTTAGGAAGCGATCGTAGACGTCACGAGTGGGCAATTGGGCGCTGACGTAAAGCTGTAGTGCGAGAGAAGCATTCCCGAGCTGGGTGGTTTTGGCCTTAAGTACACGACAAGTAGATTAGTATGCGAAGTTTTGTGTACATTCGAATTCCTATTACTTCTTCAGGTAGTTGACTCAGATGTTTAAGTATAAGTGCATGTAAATATGTACATAAGTATACAGGGTGACAATAAAATAACGTGTACGAACGTTTTTATCATACATTTTTTAAACGGAAACCATTCATAAAAAAAAGAATAAATAACAGCAGATACAGAAGTCCAAACGTAATTTAACACATTTCGACGATGGGCCGCAGGTTTCATAAAGTCAATTGGTCCCATTATCGACGCAGGGTTTGCTTCAGTGCCTCGAAACTTTTGTTGCGCTTGGCACATCCTCTATCCTCCAAAATTGACCAAAAAGTTTAGTCAATTGGGTTAAGATCTGGCGTGTAGAGTGGTCATCCCGCAGATGAGATTAAGTCTGGAAAATGTGTTCTGCACCACTTCTGCGTGATTCTCGATACGCACTCGAGAATGTCACGGCGGTCACGGCGATTGATGTTGACTTCTTCATCCACGAAAACCAGGGGACGCTACCGCTGACGGTAATCTCGCCATAGACCATAACCGGCTGTGTATTTTAACGGCTGAGGTACCAGGAGAATGAGTTCGGTAAGGAGAATGTGCTCCCATCATTAACTTGCGGCCCGAAACTTAAGAGCTCGACATCTTTGGAGTCACAAGCGCTTGTTTTAGTCCGTGAGGAGCTAGACTTTTTGAAGCTTGTATTCTTTGAGGTTTGCCGACACTGACACTGTCATTTTGGCAACACCAAGCAAACTAGCAATTTAACATTGACGAAACAATTCCAAAATTGCCCAACGTTTGTTTTACGTTATGACACACAGAACAAATAGTCGTTAAGATGCTGGAAAACCCTGCACACTTTGCAAAGACTATGGAGAAGTTAACAAAGCAAAGCTAATTTGCCTTACTTGTGGCAGCGCATGCTAAACTTTGTAACGGTTATTTATTGTCACCCTGTATGGTATTTATGTTTGAATTTATGTTTAATTATGCAAATGAAAGTGTTCTTTACTTTTCACAGTGATTTTCATGCTATGCGCTGGTTTTATTTTTTTGTACATTAAGCTTTACACTTGTTTTTCAAGTACGCAAATTTGATTATTTTTTGCCAAAGGCATTCCAATTTTTATACACCCATATTTATATACATCCTTGTACTTATGCAAACAAACAAAAGCAACAAAAGCAAGCACAAAATTAACTTCATTCTTTCATTTCATGTTTATTTGGTTATTTTGCTACTTAAACTGAACTTTTCAGACATTGTTTTTTTCTTAGTGTTTTTTTTTTATATTCGCTTACCTTGATCCAACAATAATTGCTTGTCGCCCATTGGTTGCTGTTAGCAAATCATCTGTGTCCTGAGCGCTACCATTCGTTGTGCCCACCACCTGACCGATGGCGCGTTTCACCGATTCAAATACCGAATGTGGCCCTGTCGGTTCTGTGGTGGATTGATAGATTGCACCACCGCTGCCATCATGGCCATTGGTGCCGGCGCTATCGAGCGCTGTATAGCCGCCTTCTGCTTGCGGCATACTTATTCAAGCCAAATACACACAACACTTACAACAAAACGGTAAACTGTACAATGATGCTTCTTCTTAACTTCTTCAGTTACTTCTTCTGATACTTCGTTCTTCTTCTTATTGCGGTGGAATGGCGGTGGAATGTAGTTGTTGTTATTACACTGGTGCTTTGTGAATGTCTAATGAGTGGTGGTAGTTGTAATGGTTGGTTGGTGTGTGTAGGTAGCACGTAAGTGGCGTTGATAGGCGGAGGCGATGGCGCTTGGGCTTGAGCTTGAGCTTGAGTTTTCTTTTCTTTTTGTTTTTGTTTTACATGTTTATTGTTTTTAGAATTTTTTTTTACAAAATGCAATTATACGGCAATCAGGCATACAGGCAGGCAATCCAAGAGGCAGGCAGTAAGTAGTGCATTTTTTTTTTAATATTCGGCAATGCATTTTTATTTTTTATTTTTAAAATTGTTTTTTTTTATACATGTTTTATTTGCAGATTTGTATTTAATGCATAGCGCGTGTTGTGAGTGCATATTATTTTTATATATTCGTATATTTGACAGCGTCAGCGAGCGCAAATGACAGTTTATCAATACGACAGACATTCGAGTTCGTACGAAATAAATCGAAAAATAAACAGAAAGTAAAAAGGAAAAATTATTATAAAAAAATTAAGTATTAATTGAATAACCAAAAATTTAATTTCAAATGAAATGAGATTTGCAGAATCAAAAGTACAAAATGCAAAAAAAAATAAAAAAAAAAGAAAAAATATTAAAAAGTGCAAATCTTTGATGAAGAACTTCGAAGTGCTTGTGTAACCGAGATGCGAGTAATGAAAGCGTAGTAGTGTGTGCAAGTTTTTAACTACTAGATACCATCGTGTATATACACATACAATATACATACATACAGCTGAAATATAATTCTACTTTGCAATAATACAAAATAAAAGCTTTACCACAGACTGGTAAATACGGATAAAATATGATGCTGCTAAATGAATGAGTGGAAGAATGAAATGCAAATTAGTGCATGAATAAATGTGGCATACGAAATGATGGATGACAGAATTTCAAAAAGCAAGCGGGTTTAAATGATGCAATAAAATAAGAGGGAATAGCACAATGATAAATAAATTAACAAGATTTGAGAAAAAGAACGCAAACCCGGGGTAAAGTAAATAAACACGAATTTTACAGCAATCATGGCAATAAAAAACTTAAATTTTTCAATTGAAATATTCTTAGCGAAATAAACTCATCAAAGCGTGAGCAGAGAAAATGTTGCGTATACGCCACGCGTTACCAACGTAGCAAGAGTGATATGAGCTCGATAGTAAATAAATAAATAGACGCGATATTTTTTCTTTTAGCTTGCTGTTTCCGGCATGAGCATCTCTAATATTTTCAATATGGTTTTAAGGACCTTGTGGAGCACAAATTTATATAGAAAATTTGTTAGTCAACCACGTTTTCTTGATCATTTTCACGAAACGAGAAAATCATTATATGTATGTATGCGCGAAACTAGAGCTCAACAAGGATAGTGGTTTCAAAAAAATCGTATAAACCTAAAATTGTATAAGGTATGGAAATAAAGGTATGAAATGAAAGAGGATAGTGCACACAATCTTAGGAATTTTCTTAATAGTTATCCTGTGTTCGAACGCCTCAAAAATGTGCTTTAGAGTTTTTTTTCCTTGAATATCCTTGACGATTTTCATTCAAATCAAAATATAACATATGAAATACGCTAACACCATTCCTCTACGTTCATTCCTAGAGGATATATTGGGGATAAGCATATTTCCTACAAGTAACAGCGTGTTTTAGAATTCGATTTTTTTTTTGCTTTGCATGAGAAAACCGATACATGAGCGAAACGACAGTTTAAATATAGTAAACTGAGCGATGACTTTTTCGCAGATGGATTTTTTAAAGGGCCCCAAAGTTTCTATAAGGGTAGTGTTTTAAAAAAAATCATAAGGTACAGAAATGTAGATATCAAATTAAAGAACGATTTTTTTCGTAGTGATTCTGCGGTAAAACAACTGATAAATTTCCACTAATGTTGTTATCCTTGAATATTCTTGGCAGTTTTCATACAAATCCCTTAACAAGAATATATGTATTATGTGAATACAAACTAACACCAATCCAAATTTTATACTGAACCGTTTTTTATTTAAAAGATGTTAGATTAAATGGAAAACAATTAAAAATGCTTTTATTACAAGTAATTTTTAAACAACAGAGATAACAGCTTCAGTGCTCATATATATGTATAATAAAGAGAAAATCATTATGTAGTGCGCTGTGTGCCATTATTTCTATATAATCAAATCATCGGAACTAAATCAAATTAGTATCGGACCACCTCCAAGGTATCCCCCTTCCAATAAAAAAAAGGTTCGCAGAATGCGGTTTACGTTGCCAAAAGCTATATCCAACAGGTATCGTTTATATGCTCATATAACAATTTAGGATTACCGTTAGTTTTTTAATGTTAATGAACTAAACCAAATTAGTTTGGTACCACCTTTCCGGTAAAAAAAAATTATCGAAAACGGTTCACATAGTGAAAAGTTATGCGGTAACATACATACAAAAAAAAAATATTCGGACGTTTTGATAACTGCCTTTTTTTGAAGTCCTTTAAAACTTATTTATAAATATTTTCCTAAAAACCGAATCCGTTTGCTCTGAAGTTTCTGGTATTCCGCTGTATCCCGACATGTAAACCAGTAATAACTTGCCAGAATATAAATATAGTTCTGACCACAAAAACGAGGTCTCCATTGCTGCTATATCTTCACGGAAAATCGACCCATATTCATCACTAAAATCACTTAAGTTTTCTGAAGGAAATCGAGAAAATGTTGCCTGTAATTAATTAAATAAAGGCGGATAGACGTGAATGCGAATAAGCCAAGTCTGGGAAAATACCAGCGAGAAAAGGATTGACTCTCGCCAACTATTTGTCGACTTTAAAGCCGCTTTCGACAGTGCAAAAAGAAGTTGCCGCGACGTCTGAATTTGTCACCCCCGGGAAACTAACAGAAAGCCTATGCCTTAGTCTGGCAACTAGTTTCGACTTTGGTCGGGGTATCACAAGGAACTAATAGTTATATATGTATGAATATATGTACATATGTATATAAGCAAAAAAAAAACAACAAAAAAAGTTTTGATTTGAAATATCTTCCTTAAGAGAATTTCAGTGAAGAAATTCAGTTATTACAAAATTGTATTTAGTTTGTTTCCACATGAAATTTTTTAAATGATTAAAACTTTTTGTCATTTGAGTGCCTAGTGGAAATTCGGAACTAATTTTATTATTTTGTTTAATATTGTTAGATGTTTTCTACGCCTGCAAGCAAGGTGCGATGGCAGTCTGAAAACAACTTTTTCTATTGTTTGGCTATTTTGCTGAACCTGGGGGCGATCTGAGGATATGTAATAAGCAGCTGTAAACAATCGGCGTCAATTAGCATAGAGCTAAAAAAATATCAGTTGAAAATGTATTTGACAACAAATGTTAAAGTACAAAAATAATTTATGATGACGAAGCAAAATCTTCGTTAAGAGAAAGCGGTTTCTATTTCGCCACTAAATTTTAGGGTTGTAAAAATAGGTTTGTAAAAATACACGCAAAACGAAGTACATTCATTTTAAGCATAACTACCGAAATATGTCACAAAGCACTTGGCGCATAAATTCAACATACTTCAAAAAATAAAATAAAATTACGAAAAAGCAAAACATTTCAAGTGCCATACGCCAATCTAATAAATAGATTTGCCATTGGCAAATGGTTTTGCTGACAATCAAAAATCGAAAACAGACATTTTCAATAATAGAAAAACCCTAATTTTCTTTTGTTGTAACTTAAATAAATAGCTTTTTAACTTTACATATGTACATGCATATATGAATGAGTACATATATACATATGTATGTACATATGTATCTTATATGCACTGTTCACACGACCAAACAAAGCGAACTTTTTAAATTAAATAGACTCATAGCAAATATAATAGGTTTATCTTATCATCATGCCCTGCAGATACTGATAAAAGCGACGGATTTGATATTACAGATATTCATATATGTTTCTTAGAGGGCTGCATGAATTCATTCAAACTTCTAGCCAAACAGAGTACAGTAGATTTGAATATTTTACATCACATACAAAACACTCAGCGTTTGGAATTTCGTACATTTTGTTTTAAATTTTCTACCTTCAAATGGAAGAATGTGAATGAAGGAATGGAAAGCATTAAAATCATTCAAACTCATTTCGATAAAAATTTGTTCTACAAACAAGTTTGTTTGTATTGTAATATGAACGCAGCAATACATACATACATACATACATATGTATGTTTGTACATACGTACACAGAAAAAATATTTTTGGATATTCATACAAAAAAAAAATTTGATTTATTTTAATTCAATTTATTTTCACTTTGTTTGAATATTGTAAAGTCGACACATATATTAGAATAAGTATTCACTCAAATTCAAAAAAATTATGAATAATTCATAAGCCGTTTTGAATGAATTCATACAGCCCTCTAATGTTCATACACTATATGTATGTACTGATGTACGTAAAATATGAAAGGCTCGTCATTCATTGTGTTTGCTGTTTTATGAATTATATCAAACGCTACATGTGTACATACCTATCTTTGAGGAGTTGTATAAAGGCCCCAACTGAATTTTTTTCTTTTTTTTTAGCAGGAGAAGCAAAAAACCTCCAGCACATAAGATTCAGTGTGTAACGCTTCTTCAAAAGTGACATACAATCGTTGGGTTTTAAGGTAGGGCTCTAAAATTTTTCAAGGAAGCTGTGTTTTAGTATAAGCTTTAATAGCTTAACCCGAACCCGTATTTCGAAAAAAAAATCATCAACGATAAATTTGTGTACATTTTTATGTATGTAGGCATAAACAGAATTTACTTTGAGACTTACAAACGGTGCGAAACCATTGAAATATGTGTACATATGTACATCAGATACATATGTATGGATGTGAATGTACATTAGACCGTGCCAAAAGAAACGTAAAAAGTGGGACTAGTCTTTTTACATTTTTCGCCACATTTTCGGCATTTACAGTCGGATCTTGAAGTCCGTAAGTATCGACGTTCTTACCTCGATAGGCCTTTTCTTGTGTTGAAATTCATTGACCTGAAGTACCCCGCTCTAGTACTTATCCATCAGATCTCAGTTCCTACCACTGTAACTT